GATGTATAGAGATTATTATCTAGTTAATTGTAAGACTAAGTTTGATTGGTATCCAATGCAAATGCAAAAAAAATTATTTAACGAAAAAAATTCTTTCAAGTATTCAACACTTTTTATTTAAGATTTGGTTATCACCAATTATCATTACTTGTTGGTGATTGGGTAAAGATAGCATTTTAGAAAGTTGATCAAAATGACAAAGATAATATCTATGATTGAAAGCTTCTTCTATTTGATCTTTAAAATGTATCAGTTGAATTTCAGCAAGTAAAGGATTAAGTTTTATCTAGCTTGTTATTTATTAGATACTACACCAATGATATTATCATTTTTAATAGCACTCTACTAGATCATGTGAGGTATTTACAAGTAGTGTTTGAGTGATTATAACAATGGAGATTATACTTGCATTATAAAAAGTATAAAATCTTATATAAACGGTTATCATACTTAGGTTCTTATAATTATCCTAGGAGGTCTTGGCATATAATAAGCAAAAATAAATGCCTTGCAAAAAATCTCGATACCAAATGATGTTTCACAACTTCAAGATTTTTTAGAGTTGACAAACTAGATTCAAAGATTTATTAAAAACTTTAGCATCATCACTAAGCCTTTAACTATTTTCATGGATAAAGATCAATCATGGACTTGGAAATGTAAGCAACAACATACATTTGACACATTGAAACAAAAATTGGATTCAATTCCAATGCTTTGATTTCTAGATGCCAATAGATCTTTTTAATTATATATGGATTGGAGTGTAGTAAGATTAGAAGTAGTCTTGATATAGAAGGATGATATAAGATAGAAATATATTATTGTATTTGCTTCTAAAAGTAATAACAATACAAACTCAAATTACCAATCTTGTGAAGGAGAAGTATGTTTGTCGTTTTACTTATTCTATAATTTCTTTCAGAATAAACATGTATAAGAGAATTCAAATACAGGGAAAGACTAAGTGCATGAGTTTTGCTTGTTAGGATCACACAATTAACTGTATTCCAAATCACTAAAAAACACTATGATGTTTTCTCCCATTAACAAAACTCCTTCATCAACTAATAACAATAGAGTGTAACCCTACACTCTCAAAAGACCGCTCAAAATACAATAATTTCCATCCAACACCATGAATAACAGATTTCACTCCAACCAATCTGAATTCATATAATTTTCGTAATCACAGATTTTTTTTGTCCAAAACACACACAGCTCTCAATAAACAACAATCGTAATTCTCCAATAACTCCTCATATAATTCAATCACTCAGTGCTCCAATTACATAATCAATAATTCATAAATCAATCTCTGATTTATTCCACAAATTCTCTTCTCAGTATTCAAAAACCATCCATTACTTTTCAACAACAAAAAAAACAAGGAAACAAAGAAACAAAGAGATAAAATTAGTTACTAAATGATAAGTTTTTATTGGAAGTATAATTTGTTATTTCATATGTGGCTTCATGGAATTAGGCATAAAATTCTAAGGCTAGATCAAAGAGCTTCCATAATACGCTAAGTACATGAAGAATTTGGATATTTTGAAGTGTATATGATATATTTTATGTTACATAATTAATATTGGTAGAATGGTATAGATCAATAAGTAGTAACACATATTTTTTGGTATGAAGTATGTGATCAAGTTAGATCAAGCTTTAAATAAGCCATGCCTATGGGTATTGAAAACTTATTTATTGCTTAGTATTGCAATACTTTATAACATGCTCACATTTGTAGTCGAGCTTATTAAATTTAATTACAAAGATTCTTCAAAAGAGATTATGTGTATTTGTAATCTAAAATTCTTATAATACTTGATATTAAGATAAGGCATACAATTCTATGTATAAAGAATATGTTGCCTAGTGGTATTTTATTGTTCGAAGCCAAGAATGAACAAGAGTGTAGGATGCATTCAAAGAATTGTGATCCTTGTCATCTTCCTATTGATGACTCTATACATCTTAAATTGGCAATTTTGCCAATTGGTCTTCATTTTTTTGTTTGTGGTAAGAAGAAATAGGCTACTACCATGCTTTTATATAATCAATGCCAACGTGGATAGCATATGGCATGTTTGACACCACCTGTTTCAACTCTCCCTTTAAGAAATTGAATTTGTCCTTATTGTAAGAAATCTTTTAGTCATGTCTCATCTCTTGATAAGAATTGAAGATTTCTTCTATTTTTTTTGGGACACACTTTGATAATCTACCTACTACAATACTAGTTTAGAAGAATACAATTCAGCAATAACATCATTGTGGCATTTTATCTTCTACAATGTGTATTTTGAAGTCTTAGTTGTTTGAAAGGACTCCTAATCAACTGGAAGAAGGGGCACTTGAGAATATATTGGGTGTTTATTTGTATTTGGTTTAAATTACATACTTTGTGATTGATTTGTACTACTCAATGTGTTATGTGTAATGATTTTTGTTTACACAACAAATGTCACATAATATGGCATTGGATACCAAATCGCATCAAATATATGTAGTTTAATTTAATTAGTAGTTTTTCATCTATTGATAGTTTTTTTTTTAATTGACTTTGTTCATATTAACTAGGGTTTGAATATTTAAGTAGAAAAAAATTGTTGACTTGACATTCTTGTCAAGTCAAGTCTTATGAGTGATTTTGAAAATGAGAGAACTTGTTGTAAGGGTTTGCTTGGCTATGGTGATTTAGCCATTTTAGTAAAACTTTAGGATTTTTCTTATTTTCACACTTGGACTCTTAGATTTCCCTTTTGTGGTGTAAGAGATAGCTTGACTTAGTTTGATGTAGATTTTTAATCTTTTCTAAAGAGTGTATTGGGTATGCATTTGTATTTGGGTTAAATTATGTACTTTGTAATTGATTTGTAGCAGTCAATGTGTTGTATGTAATGATCTTTGTTTACACAACAAATAAGATACTGTACATAATATTAAAATAATGATAACAAAAATACCAACAACAACAATATAATGTGTTGAATACAATATTTATTTACTTATCCTTAATGTGCATTTGAAGTTTTGCAAATGAAAATTTCAAGATGCTACACAAATTAAACTTTAAAGTATATTTTTCTTCATCTACAACCCAGTTGTATAATTCAATGAAGAAGCCATTAAATTAAATGGTTTTGAACTAATTGTTTATATCATATATCTTTATAAGTTTATGCCATAGTATTGTTACTATCATGCATACTTGACAAAATCACTTTGACACCTTAAACTGGTTTTTACTCTTGTCTTTTCTTCTTTGTTGTTATAATTTGTTTTGACAAGATCTTCTTCAGTAATAAGTTCATAATTGCAACTAATAATGTTTGTTTTTGTTTTTGTTTTTTTTAACAACTACAACTTAGTGCAAATAAATGCCATAGAACAATGAATCTTCTATTAAGCCTACACACAAAGTTTACAATAAGAAACAGTTGTGTTTCTTATTGTAAACTTTATATTCGTTGGCTAAAATTGTTGATTACATTTGCCATATGAAACATGCTTTTGTTTTTGTTTTTGTTTTTTCAATTTTTTTTTTTTTTTTTTTTTTTTTTTTTTGTGCTTGTAAATTCACACATTAAATATTTTCTTTTGAGAAACTCTTTGTATGTTTGCTACTGTTTGCAGTGTCATTACTTTTCTTTTCATTTCTGTCCTTTCCTTCTGGTTGGTTGTCTGTCTGGCTGTCTGTCTGTTTGTTTTGTTATTGTTAAAACTTTGCAACCCAATAATTTGTTGCACAGCTCTGTCTATAATCTTTTGTAACTCACCTATGATTTTGTATACCTTTGAGGATCATTCAGATTGGGTCCCATCATACTTTGTAAACATGTTGATCAACATTCTTATAAATACTATTTTAAAACAACAAGACAATTTAACTGCAATTTGCAGTAGGTCTACTTCATCATAATATGAATGAATTCTATGCACTTTATCAGCTTTATAAGAGCCTTTTTGCATGGAAGTTAAACAAAATAGATATGAACAACCAGCTGTGAGAACTCAATCCTTACAATTGCAGGTACAAGTTTTGAGCGTAATTTTTCATTTTGAAAGCATTTTCATTTATATGTTAAAGTAAGATTTAAGATAATTTTTTTATTTGTAAAAAACAACTACAATGTTGCATTTTAAGCCTTACTTTGAAGGTATCATCACAACCCAACACTTTTTTTTTTAGCAACAAAAACCTTGAGAGATTCTCCAACACAAAAAGAATGTGTAGGGTGGATAAAATACACGTAAAAACCAAATCTTTATCTTCCCCTACCTGAGGCCGTGTCAACCCGCTGTTTAATTCTTCATTGACAATCTTTGATTTCATTTTTATTTCTTTACAGATGCTGTGCTGCAGCTCAGTAAAATTATTATTAATTAACATAATATTTTTATCAGAATAAATTTTAAGTATATGGTAGAATCAATTTTCTTTGATTATAAATCTGTATATATATATATATATATATATGTGAACCAATTCGAAATGATTTAGAAAATTTATGTACGTTTTTTTAACTTAACAGTCGTATTTAAATATATGTATTTAAACACATGATAAATAAAACGTCAAAATATTATATTTATATTATTTGAAGCATTTTTTAAGGGTTCAGAAATTCACATCCGAAAATCCACTAAATCCAAGAAGAAGGGGATGAAAAACGTTCCAGGGGAAAGGCAACGAATGACACATTTTCATTCAAAATCAAGCGTTCAGGAGACCTCAACGAGCCAGTGAATTCTATTGGGTAGGGGAAAAAGGCGGGAGCTGCGTCATGTGGCTAGTGGTGACATGGCAGCCAGCGTGTGGAATAAAGCAGCCACGCACGCGCGGCACCGCTGAGGGCGCACCTCTCTCACGCAATGCTGCGTCGGTAGCTGCTCTCAATGCCGCCGACACTGTTCCCTAAACCTGGACAACTCGGGGGACTTGCCCCTGGCCGTTTCGATAGGACTCGATCGAGGGTATAAATACGTCCAGGGCATTGGTCGAGCGATGTGGCATTGCGCCGGAGATCGGGGGGTGAGTCGCAGCATTCGCGGACTCGCTCTGTTTGGGGTGGGTGAAGTTTGTGCCCATTTGGTGGAGCTTGTATTGTTCCATTTGTTGTGGGTTTCGGTTTGGACTTGTATTTGGAGGAGTTTGGAGGAGGATTTCGGAAGAAGAAGAAGAAGAAAGCGTGGGTGGGTTCGTGTGAGGGATTGTGTATTGACTTGTTGCGCGATGTATGTTGAGAGAGAGCTTAGTCTGTTGAAGATTTGAGTTTCTTCTTAGCTGTGGGCAGATTCCTGATTCGCATTTATTGCGAGTTGTGTGTTTATGGGAGCAGGGTTTGGAAGTGATTTGGAGTTTTCATTTTGTTTGTCAGGTCTTTCGTGTGAGGTTTGAGTGGAGGTGCGGTGGTGGATTTGTCTAGGGTTAACTTGCAATATAATGTCATGCAGAATTTTTGAAGGCTTTGTGTAAATTTAGCGTCCAGGCAGGAGTAGTGGAGATGGCCGGGGTCGTAAGGGATGCGAGTGCCAAGGAGGACTTGGACAATGCAGTGACGAAACAAGGTGGTTTGGTGGTAGTGCACTTCTGGGCTTCCTGGTGCGAGCCGTCTAAGGCTATGGAACCCGTCTTCGCACAACTCGCCGCCGAAACACCTCAAGCTCAGTTTTTCCGAGTATGTGTGTCTATCGCTTATCCTTCCCTGCAATACTTCTATCGCTTCTGGAACAGTAGTAAATTTAGCCAGTGAAGAAATCTGCTGGTAGTGCCTGTTCTTTGGTGGGGAGCGATGAAAACTGAATTGGTGCATAGCTACGATAAGCGCCTTTGCTTTAATTTGAACGAGGGTGGCAGGGTACATTCTAGATAACGATTTGGCTGTGTCCACTGTCCAAGCAGGTTGAGGCCGAGGAACAGTCCGACATATCTGAGGCGTACGACGTTACTGCAGTGCCGCTGTTTATTTGGATTAAGGTATTCCAGCATGTTGGCTTTCGAATAATCTGAAAGCTTTCCCTGTTCCGCCACTTCGAGTCCATAGATGCCAATTACCGTGCATCTTCCTCGTCGTGATTCTTACAATCCTGCGAATGATCTTGTGTGTAATCAGGAAGGAGTGGTAGTTGACAAGATGCAAGGTGCAAATGCCCCTGAGCTGGCCAACAAAGTGGCTAAGTGGGTAAATGATGCTGGTCCGCTCACTGGGTTGAAGACAGAGACGCCCTCCAATGGTGTTGCTGCAGCAGCCACCACTGCCCCAACTCAAGGTGCAGCTACTGCAAGCCTTTCCGAAGCTGAGAAAGGGAAACTTCATGAACTTGTGAATTCGAATAAAATAATGCTTTTTATGAAAGGATCACCAGAGGAACCCCGCTGCGGTTTCAGCCGCAAGGTGGTCAATGTATTGAAAGACCAGGATGTGGAGTTCGGCAGCTTTGACATCTTAAGCGATGAGGCGGTGAGGCAGGGTATGAAAACATACGCTAATTGGCCCACATTTCCCCAGCTCTACGTCGACGGAGAGCTTCTGGGAGGATGTGATATTATTCTAGAGATGAATGAGAATGGCGAGCTCAAGCAGGTCAGTGGTGTTCATTTCTACTCATGCTACGAACATGTGCTATTGGTCGCTTTCATATTGTTATGTTTCATCTTCAATGATAGTCTCTGTAGTTTTTATTTTTATTTTTATTTACCAGTAATCCTCGTGGCTCTCCGTAAAGCCAAATTCGGGTTCGAGTCAGCCGGTGAGCTGTGTGAGTGATTAAGCCGTTTTGTGTACAGGGATACTTTGAGTATAGACGTGTGATCTGCTGTCCTGACACACTGAGTTGTCTCTTTGCTAGGTTTTTGCTGAGAAGGGACTATTACCTAAGGAAAGTTTAGAGTCTCGACTGGAGAATGTCATCAACCAATCCACCACTATGCTGTTCATGAAAGGAACCCCTGATGCGCCTCGTTGCGGCTTCAGCAAAAAAGTTGTCAACGCATTGAACGAAGAAGGAATTGAATTTGGCAGCTTCGATATCTTGGAGGATGAAGAGGTTCGTCAGGGGCTTAAGACGTACTCAAATTGGCCCACGTATCCACAGCTGTATTACAAGGGCGAACTTCTCGGTGGCTGCGACATTGTTTTGGAAATGAAAGCCAATGGAGAGTTGAAGTCAGCTCTCACCGAGTAAAATTCATTTAAAATTTGCTTGGTAATTGCACACCATTCTTCATTCAATGGAGTCAATTCACGCCCGTTGGCATAGAGGTGTAGTTCTTGCTATTCTGAGCTGAATGGTAGAAGAATGTTAAGATCATAGAGGTACCGAGCACCTGAGGATGTGCGACTTATACTTTATGATGACTTGTAATCCAAGTACCCTTTAATAAAAAGAAATGTTTATATTCTGATGTATAAATCATGAAGAACTGCTTATATGGAGTTTGGCCTTTAGTGAGCTCTGAAAGCGTGCGGAATTCTAGGTTAAGCAGTATTATAGAATTGATAATCTATCACTAAATATCTCGTGCAGGTAGTTATTATGTGGGATGTCGTCTTCAGATTTGCCGAACACCATGTTATCTGTGCAGACTGCAAGTGTGACCCCGCTTCATGTACACATCCATGCCTTTCTATCATAAAGTAATCAGCTGGGTTATTGTCAATGCTTACAATAAGGTTCAGTGAGGCCAGCGTATCTTGGCATGCTTCTTTTTTGATCCTGGATTGCCTTCAACAGTACCAATTGACATTTATTAAGTGTTTAACCAGCAGTCTATTTTTGCTGTACGCTGTACAGTTGGTAGTGTCGTAACAGAAAGCAGACTTACAAGAAACAAGCAAGATTCAAAACGTTCTTTGACGTCCAAAAAGCCATTTGACAAAGAGACGTTGATGGAATCACAAGGGAGGCATGCATCCTTCGATAAGAGGGTGGGACGTTATGTTTGTCGGAACATGTCTCTATTTTGTCTTGGTTTTTGCATCAAACTAAGAGTACAATAAGGATTGTTCAATGTATTGTAGAAATAAATATAAAGTAACTTAGGATGAACAATAGATAATAGATAGTTCAATAGATATAATAGATATAATAGATAGTAACAATAGATAGTTCTCTTGAACTTTAACAATTTTGTCTTTATGCTATGATTATTTTATTTCTTAATTACATTTGAAAAGTGGGTGTTAATTTTCTAACAATGCAATCTTTTGAGGTCATATGGAGGATCATTGAGTATTATATAGTGAGCTAACTATTAAGAATTGTGAATCTCACTCCCAATTTTGGTGGTAGGCAACTAAAATAGACGGTAGGTGTTGTGTTAATATGCATAATGTTGTAGAGAGTCTTAAGAGCTAATAATCATTTTTGGTAAGAGCTAATGGCCTCAATATTATCAAACCATTCTCTCATTTTTTGGAATGTAAGGTAGAGAGAAGTGTTTGCCAAGATTATTCAAGATCAGTCTGTTCCACCACCATTGTGATTGCTATTGGGCTTGATTTCTATTACAAACTCAAGTAAAATTCCTAATAAAATTAGAAAAGATATAGAATGCATTTTTAGTGTGGACCAAGGAATCATAATATCCCAAGTTAGAATGTAAAAATGGAATTAGTCAATATATTATAATATAAGGGACTTGGAAGAATTAGAGATGAAGTATATTAGTTTATGTTGATTGCCTACAAAGAACATTGGAAGACAAGGAATGAAAGACAAAAATAGAAATATCATAGCTTTTATGATTAATCTAAAATTTTTAAAAAAAATGCAAGAAACTTTAAGATAAAATAAATTTATAATAGTAAAAATTTCTTTATTATAAAACATATAAATCAAATTTTTTTAAAAATAATTTATAAAAATAAATAAGATGAAGTCTATTATTTGAATTTATTTATAATAAATACTCATATAGTACAAAGTTTATTATACCTTTTTTTTTATAAAATATAAGTTTTAAAAAAATTAAAAATATAAATTAATAACTAAAGAAAATATTTTAAAATATTAAAATCTTTTTTATACATATTTTTTCTATTTTAATTTTTAGTTAATTATTGATTAATGGAATAGAGAATAATTTTTAAAAAAATTAATAAAAATCTGATAGAATTTTTAAAACTTTAAAAAATATTAATTATTACATGCAACTCCTAAAGTTTTCTAACCTATAATAATCTAAATCTTTCTAAAACTATATATAATATATTATTTTAAATGATCTATTCCAAAATCCTAATTAAATTGAATAAAATTTAATTTTTTTTACCTTGATATGAAGCCTTAGAACTTTATATCTTTGTAATATAAGAAAAATATAATATTCGTAATTATATTATATAATCAAAATAAATAACAAATTTACTTAAACATTATAGAATAAAAATATACATCAGTTATTAAATATTAAAAGCAATTAGAGCATTTAGAAGTCAAAAAGCTATAAATTTATATTCAAAATGGCCATATCAAATTTAAAATAGAATTATTTTATTTTTTCTTTTATTCATATGTATTATATTGTAGGCTCTTTGAAAATCTATTTTGATATAGATTTTATTTTTAATTAATTATTACATGAAAAAAATTGTAAGATTTATGAAAATATATTTTTGAAAAATGGTTAATGTATTTTGTAATAAGTTGTAAATTGGTTTAAATATAGGTTGATCACTTTCTTAAAAGAAATTTTATCGTAAGAAATTTTATATTTTATAATGTTTTTAATTTTTTATCTTCAAATTTATTTTCATATTTTTGATATTTCTTTGGATTCTTTTCAACAACATCTACAATATAATATAATATTGAATAAGAACATGGTGCAACATAAAATGATAAATATTTCTTTTTTTAGCTTATATAAATGTCTTTATTTTAATCTATAAAGGATTGATTTGCTAAAGTAGAAGACATTTTTTTATTATTATTATTTGTTTAAGATGATTCAAGGAGAAATTCAAAACTATAAGATATCAATTTGCATCAAAATATTTTTTTTAACTAATATAAATCTAAATAAATTAGATTGATTAAATATTTTATGATAGTAAATAATATTAAATATTATTTTTAGATAATTGTTAAAGCCACATCCCACATTACCATCTCATGGTTGATTCCATCCATCTCTATCTTTGTTCCTTATTCCATATCTCATGTCTCCAACTTCCAATCCATATGCCTTATTCTCTATCTTCCAAAATTAATCATCACATGGTTTGAAGGGTGTGGCTTTAACAACTCCCTATTTTTATTTAAAATTATTTTATTATCAAGATTTTATAAGTGACATATTTAAAAGATAAATAGTATATATATATATATATATATATATATATGTCAATTATGCTCTAAAATTTTAATACATTTATACTCTTTTATTGAAAATTTCAAACTTTTTGATTCAAACTTATACATGTTAATGTATTGTAGCACATACATAAGATATTATTTATTACAATTGTTGCTAAATACCAATTTAGGATTTATTAGGCTTGTAATCCTAAATTGGTATTTAGCAACAATTGTAATAAATAATATTGTATTTTATATACTTTATAAAAATTTCAGTAGCCATTTTGGTATGCTTTATATTACTAACATGTGTAGATTAGAATAAAACAGTCAATCCACAAACATGACCACCTGCAACTCCCACGTATTGTGGCAATGGAAACGATGTTCTATGCAGCTGTTGGCACTGGACCCTATCTACTGCAGAGTTACTTTGTGAGGATTTTCAACAAAATGCACTGGTGACTTACAAGCCTCATGCATCTCCATATTCTAGATCTTGTAGCAACTTGTAACACTACACTTGGTTATTATCATGGAAATGGTCTTTTACATTTTGCTGGCCGTTCCTACTGATGCAACGGATAACCCAGTCCCGTAATTACGTAATTCCTTTGGTTCAGTTCCACATCATGTCATACGGGCCTTATCAACGGTTTGGATCAGTCACACGGTGAAGCTGCTCCGGTGAACTGATCACATGGACTTTGTATCCAGTATACCATCCAGAGTGCTCTGTGGTTCAGGCCAGTCTGACGCGTGCTGCATGAACGACACAGACGCAGAACAAACGATATCTTAGTATGATTCCGCACGTGAAAAGTCTCTAGATCGACCCACAGGCTGATCGATTATTTGCCGAACCGTCTAGTAAGGGTATACTCCTTCTTCGATTCCAGCAGGATTGTAGCTACTCATCATGAACATTGGATACTCAATACATGATTTGCACACGAGCTTAGCACACCCGATGCTCATAGTCGTGGACCATACCACCTGCATGTATTGGAATGTCTCGTCCTTTATGGATAGAATTCATCCAACAATACATCCATTTAGATTAAAACTCTCTGAATTGGCTTAATTAGTGGTGTTGTATGATTACATTAGCCTTTTTGTACAAACTACTCTCTCTTATATTATTTTAATGTTTCTCCACATAACAATATTACTTCTATATTTCATATTATACTTATCTTTGGTACATCTAGTCTTACAAATTCAAGTTGCTATTGGAAAGAGAGAAGCTGTGGAGTGTTGCCAATTCCACCATTGCATCTATATTTGGCTATTCTTTGTCCAACACTCAAACACATTCAACCTCAATCAATCTAGCTGCAACTCCTCAATACTTTACCACTACCGCATTTGCATTTACTATCAAGGACCTACAATTGAAGGCCATAAAGATTATTGTACCTATAATAAAAGACTTGATTCTTCATCATATTAACAACCTTTTAGATCTTACATAAATGTAGATAAAATTTAGGGATCCATACGATTTAAACTCTAAAAATTGTAGATTATTTCCAAAGTTACATTTCTACAACATACAAATGACAAAAAAAATGACTATTGAACAATATTTGAGAAATATAAATAATCTCATTAAATAACTTGTCAATATAAAGATCATTATTTTGGATGAAAAACTAATTGACATGCTACTATCAAAGACAAGAACTCAATAAAACAAATAAATAAGTGAGATTCTTTCAAAGAAATATGAAAATAAAAATAAAAAAGTATGTATATTAAAAATGAAATTGGAATGGCTATTGCATTCTATAGGACTTCAAAAAACGTGTTGACTTTGTATGACACGTATCTTAACTTGCAAAGCAAGTTTTCTATATGGATGCCACATAATTAGCTTGTTTCACAAGCTACCAACATATGTGGCACATGCTTAACTTGTTGATCCAATTTCTAATCTACTAATTAATTACAAATACATGTTAAGTCAAAATAGGATCTACAAGCTTCTAAAAAGCTTTTCTAGAGGGTAATATAAAATTAATCTATTTTTATCTTCTTTTTCTTATTCAAATTATCTAGGTAAGAATTATAATAGATATATATATCTATGACAAATATTCATAAGTTTT